TCATTGCTTTTATAATTGTTGCTGTTGTATACCATTGAGTCAGAACCATCTCACAACTAACCCTTAAAGACAGGAGGTGATTGCTTATTTTTCTCCTATGGAGCAGCTGGTGGATTTGAACCGCTTGCCTGTAAATTGGCAGAGTAACTCCTAACAAATAAATCACTAGAGTTCTGTCCTTCAACTAGAGTGCAGCATTTAACCAAACCTGGCTTGCATCCCAAGACACCCCATTTATCTTGCTCAGTATTAAAAGGGAGCTCTCGTAGTTGACTGGTAAGGAGTTGCACTGCCAAACCAAAGGCAGGTGCTTTGAATTCATCAGGTATTTTGTGAGAGAAGGATGGGCAGTCTCCTGTCTGGCAATTTGCGGTCGCTGAAAACTGGCTGGAGCATCAGCTGTGAGTCAGTCCTGATTCAACAGTACTTAACAATGCCAGCAGTATCGAAACAAGCGCTACAGGTTAAGAACCTACAGGTTCTCAATTTTTACTTATCCATATCTTGTTTCTTTTTCCTCATTTATAAGCATTTTGTTAACTCACTGGTCTTTCAAATCATGCAAAGTGAAGGAAAACTGAAATTAGAGAGCAACCTAATCTTTTATATTAATTACTACTGTTTGTGCAGTGCCTCTTACAATGTAACTAATTCAGGTTCAACACTAACCAAATCATCTTGCCTAAGGTAACCTTGGGTAGTAAAAACCTAACTGCCTGAAGATTTTACTTCCTTATACCAATGTAAAACTATTTTCTAAAATTTCAAATAACAAGTGTATACGAAAGCACTTTTTAAACTATGTGCATGGTCTCGTTTCAGGAACCCATGGCCTTTTTTCATTGTTTTTTGCCTTGCCATGTACTTGCCTGTGTTTAACTATAATAAAAATTAAAAAGTAATTTTAGCCAACATTTAGTTTATATTTATTATGTACCAGACCTTTTCTGTATATTATCTTAATCTTCTCAACAACATAACTGAAAAGTTTCTCAATTTTATAGATGAAGAAACAGAAGGTTAAGAGAACAGATTAAAGGATATACATCTATTAACCAAACCGACATTTTATGTAATAAAATTATGTGATAGCTGTATAAATATTGGCAGAATTAATAATATACCAAGCAGAGGTGAAGTATGGATGTCTTACCATTACATGAATACTTTTACAGGGTAAGCATTTGCCAGCCAACAGCTTAAATCATGCAGAAATTTCAGTTGAGCTTCAGAATTATAACTCCTAGCATTTTACTTGTTTATTCTTTTTTTTTTTTTTTTACTTTATTCTGTAGCTCCAATTCCTTAACGATCTTGGCAGAATATTTTCTTGAAATTGGAAGTTTTATATTTGTAGCAGTGATAGATGCTCAAGACCCACATTTACATGTCCTTAGATGGTCTGTTAACCAAGCAGCTTTTCCCTTATTCCTATAGATCCAAAGATCAATAATGTGTCTGAGTTGCTATGTGTAATCCTTTTCCTGCCCGAACCCCCAAAAACGAATGTGGAGCTTTGAGGAAAGGGCAAAGCATGTTGTGGAACATCCTCAAGGCTCCAGATATATAGACTGGGTCAGCTGAGTCACCTTCAAGACAACATTCTGAAAGCTAAGAGCTTGAGACAGCACAATAAGGGACCACTTCTTTGTAGCAAGCCATCTCTTTATATACCTTGCAAACATAAATATGCTCCAGAAGAGCAGCAGCAATTATTCTCGCAACAGATAAAAGCAGAGCTAAACATTTCTGGTGCTTTTCCAATTGTATTTTCATTTGGTTTAACTTTAATATCTAGTTGAGGAAAAAAATAAGTGCAGAATGTTTCTGTACTATAGATAGCAGATATGATATACGGTGACAAGGTGTAGTAATAATTTACACGCTGGCATGAACCTCAGAGGCACCAGATGCTCATTTTCTGGTGTTTTCCCAGTCCTGTCATTAGATTTAGTCTTACAATGACCATCTCTCTCTCCAGGAAGCTCTCTTCTTGTGTACAGAATGGATACATTTTTTTTAGCCACTGTTTCATCCTCAAATATTTTTTTGAACGCTATCCACCAGACATTCCTCTGCTATACTTTGGGCAGATACTTTTCTGTTATACTTTGGGTGTATTGTCAAGAGTTACCCATCGTTAGAAAAGACATTATGCTGGGTAAAGTAGAGTCAGTGAAATAGAGGAAGAATCCACAACAATGGACTCAACATGATGGAGACATACAGATGGAACAGGATAGAGCAAGGTTCTGATCTGTTGTTCTTAGAGTTGCTGTGAGTCTTGTTGACTTGACGACACAAAAACTCTTCTAGTCACTGAAGAAATAGCCAACGACAAAATAGAAGAGGCAAAAAGCTTTCTTGATATGACCCTGCTATTCCACTAGTTGGAATATACCCTGAGAAAATGAGAACTGACGCACAAACAGATTTGCACACCAGTGTTCATAACAGCATTATTCACCATCGCAAGAACATGGAAATAGCCCAAATGTCCAACCACAAACGAATGGATTGCAAAATTATGGTACATTCACACAATGGAATACTATGCAGTATGGAAGAACAATGATTTTGTAAATTATTACCTAACTTGGGGGGGGACTGGAGAGCATTATGCTGAGTGAACTAACTCAGTCACACAAGGATAAATATTGTATAAAACCATTATTGTAGTATAAGGATCCAAGAAGAATGGGAGAGGTTGGAAGCAGAGGGATGAGGATGTGCAGGGGAAGCAGTGGATTAATCATGGGGTTGTACAATTTGATGGAGGGGAGTGAGGGAAATTGAAAGAATTTGTTCTTGAAAACTATGTACTCAAATTTTGTAAACAAACTAGTATAAAATTTTAAAAAAGCTTTCTTGGAGCTTATAGTCTAATTAGAGGAAGAAAGCAGTATCCAAATTAATAAGTAAATTATGTAGTATGTTGTGTCAGCAGTGATCCAAAGAAATCAGGAAGTACTCAGAGCTGGGGTTGCAAATGTAAATAGAATTGCTAAAGAAGGCATCAATGAGAAGGTGACTGAGTAAATTCTTGAAAGAGATGAGGGAGTGAACTATGGAGAGATATAGATTAGATGATATAGATATAGATGATATAGCTATAGATATAGAGTTAGAGATAGATATAGATATCTCATGCAAATATTACATAAAGTATATATCTAAATATATATTCTAGATATAACAAAAATATATGTATATAACAAAAATATTTTTATTGATCTATTTCTATATAAAGATCGTTTCAGAGAGGAAGCAGTAAGGGCATAGACCTAAAAGCAGGAGAACTAACAAGAGCTGGTTCTTACTGCTGTCTGTTGCTGGTCTTGGGTTCTGCTGAGTCTGTAGGACTCTGCATACTGTTGCAAGACTGGCTTTTACTCAGTATAAGATGAGGAGCAAATTAAAGGTTATGAATGGAAGTGTGATAATTATCTGGTTTCAGTTTCTTCTAGAAATAATATTTACTGTAAGAAAGGTTCCTAGAACGAGTCACCAAAGCCTATTAAATCTGTATTATCACTGAACCATAGTGTTAAGTCAGACTCTTAGAATAGGCTCTCAGACCTAGCTTTCAGTCCCAGCTGCAGAAATTTGAGTGGATTGACTTTGGAGAAACCAGTTGATATCCCTGAGCTGCACTTTCCTCGTCTGGAGAATAAGAATAAGCAATATGTGCCCTCGAGTTTTAAAGTAAGGAGCAAGAGAAAACTGAGTATCAAAGCATTCTAGAGATTGTAATAGATCTATGCCAGGGATCTGTGGCGGCATGGTCCATTAGGAGCAGAATGGCTAACACCAAAGGAGGTGGTTTTGTGGTGGTTCAAATCCACTAGTGGCACTGTGAGAAAAAGAGCAATAATTTCTTCCCATGCAAATCAATTTACAGCTTCCCAAATTTATTCATTCTTAGCATCCCTTAGATTATAAGGCAGAATTCATTATTCTCTTTTCTAGCCCTCCTTTTACTTTTTTTTTAAGAGATGCCCTTTGATTTATCATGTAAATATAATTCCTGTTATTGAGTATTTCCTTGTGATCTTTTTTTTGGAGGGTATTGTTTCTTATTTATTTGTTGTTTTTAAAAGTTTGAGTGACAGTTTATAAATCATGTATACAGTAACCAATAAGGCAGCCTCCATCCCTTCTTCTTAAATAAGGAGTCTGTGGCACAAGCTGTAGGAAGTTGCACTGCAAACCCAGAGGCCCTGTGATAACCTCTCCTGCTAAATGAAGCTTTCCTGCAATGAAAGGGAGCTCTGTTGGCCTGTTGTTGTTATTAGTTGCTATCAAGTTGAGTACAACTCATAGCAACCCTATAAACAGCCTTTCTGAAATATGTCCTATCCTGTGCCATCCTAATCATCTTTGAGACCCAAGAGCCCATTGCTGAAGTTGCAATGTCAATCCACCTCATTGGGGGTCTTCCGTTCCTTCTCTGACCCTTCCTCTTTCCAAGCATGATGTCCCGTCCCAAGAAATTGAGTGGTAACCCAAAGGCATGCAACTCAAATCTGCCGGCTGCTTTTCAGGAGAAAGATGGACAGTATCCTCCCATGCAAAGTAGAGTCTCTGAAAGGTGCTTGGAGGGGCAACTGTGAGTTGATTCCAACTCATTGACAATAGATTTGCGTTTTGGTTTGGTGTTTTTTTTTTGAGTCATATTAAATAGTCATGGGTAGAGTACCTTCTTCTTTCTCCAGCAAGGGAGATTAAGGAGAGTGACAAGTACTTCCCAGTTTGATATCAGCGAAGCCACCAAATGAGCTGCCAGTTAATGGTCATAGCCTCAGAGTACTTGTAGACTGGGGCCTCCTTACCTACATTTCTTTTGGTTTCCAAAGGATCGTTATTTACTGGATCATCATGCCCTCACCCCTCAAGAGACTCCCAAAAGCCTCTCTATTTCATGCTGTAAACTCACTGATCTGTCTTCTAAAGGACAACATTTCTAAGATAACCACAAGCCTCTTCTCTCTCCCCTCCAGGCATTCCTCCTATGGACGGCTTTTGGATGACCATGACTATGGATCCTGGGGAAACTACAACAACCCTCTTTATGATGACTCCTAACAAAGGACCATGGACTGGGATGAGGAATAACTGTCCTTTATTTATAAGTGCTTCTCCAGTAGAATTAATACAAGTACCTGATGCGCATTGAACGACAATGACAATCTTAAATTCTGTTTTGTTAGTCTGGTTTGGTTTTCCCCCCCACCCTGCCCTTTCCTCTGGCTACTGTAACTCCCTCTTTTCTGATACAAAAAGAACCTGGACTTAAATAGGAACCAAGGATGGTTTGTATTTGAAGTGGGTCAGCCCTGACCACCATGTTGGAGACATCTGGACCACATGGAAAGGAACTAACAAAGAAAGACTGCGTTAATTTTGTTGGGGATTACTTTGAGGGGAGTTCTGGGGTTTGTGTTTGTTTATTGTTTGGGGTTTTTTTTCTTTTTTTCACAGTAATTCTTAATCTTTCGTTAAATACCAATGAGAAAAGGAAATGAGGGCCAGGAGGAGTTTACTCAGCATGGGAGGAACACAGGAGTTTCTCCAATTCCTTTTTGATCTGTTTATCTGGTTTTGTCTGACTGGATGCCTGTTCAGCTGGACAAGCTGCCTGCCAGCTTCTTAGCTACCTAATGAATGGAAATGGAAAGTGCTCTGGGGGAGGCCAGAGGACCGAGGGGCAGAGAGAGGAGCAGGATGCTGTCAGATCTCAGCAAGCTGCCTTTTCCTGTGCTCCTCTCCAGCCTCTCAGCTAAGGGTGCCAGTTCCCCTCAACTTCAGCTGCAGTCCCAGCCAACAGATTTCAGCAGAGCTGTAATTCCAAAGGATCTTGTTAAAGATGAGCTTAGGCATAGAAGGAAAGGGAGAGGGATGAGGGCGTGAGGAATAGAGGAGGGTAGGAGAGAAAGAGGGAGTAACATGCTTTGAGGGTCTTAATTAGGGACAAGAGAACAAGCTCTCAGTAACTGTCAGAGACATCACTTCAGAAACCCATAGAACTAGACCGTTCACTTTAGACTTAAAGTATCTGGTTCACCGTCTGTTGGATAATGGCTATAAACAGGGTTGTGTTTTTGGTTTTTGGCTTGTGGGGTTTTTTTCGTTTTGTTTTTTAAGAAAAGGCACTAATGTATTATCATTTGTCATTGAGGCATTTCCAAAGAAACCAAAACCATGGTTAAACCATTTATTCTTCTTGTATCTCTAACATATGCATTCTTCTCTTTAATACATTAATACCTTAGGTATGTAGTCCCAAATCCTATGTAACAAATACTGTAACAGAACTAATCATCCTTATTTATTTGTTGAAGTGATTTGGCCCCCAGGGTACATTTGACAATGTCTAGTGACATTTTGTACTGGGTATAGCAGCCAAGGATGCTGCTGTGCATCCGACAGTGTGTGGGACTGCTAGTCACAGCAAAGAATTGTGAGTAGTGCCAACTTTGATAAGCCCTCATTTGTTGTATTTCCTTGTGATTTACTGGCTCCAAAAACCCACTGGAGAGTCAGCTGAGTCAGTTTTGACTCCAGAGCAGTGCATTTTTGTGATGGAACACGACACTGATTGGTAATACTGTTTTGATTTTTTTTATAATGAAAGTGTATGATTGATAATTTTTTTTAATATTGAAAGTGTTGCATTTGTTGGTATGGATTATTTTGGTGTGCATGGTTGCCCTTTTTTGGTTTTTTTGTGCTTGCTTAGGTAACTGTTTCACAGCTACTATCTACCATTCTGCCTTGCTACAATACGTGATATTAGCAAACGGTATCTTTATTTTCTGATTTCACAGAGTAGAAAACATACATCAGGTCCTTATTAAAAATGTACTATATTGTCCTTTAATGTCACAAAGGACTTGAAAGTGAGTCTGCTTTTATTTCTAACCTTGGACTTGCTCTGTGACTGTTTAATTTACAGAAACTTGACCCTCAGCTCTTCCTGTCACTCACTTTGCTCCAGAAAATCCTGACATGAAAGCCACCTTTGCAGTACTTTTCTAAATTTCTCTGCTGTCAAAGACACTGAGAGGTATGCTCCTTTCCACACCTGCCCTCCTAACACTGTGGGTGATCTCGAAATTCCTTGGGTGCCAAAGAGAAAGAGTAAACCACAGAGGTATTTTGTAGTAGCAGTGAGTAATGAGGAGTGACCTTCCAAAAAATATATCTTTATTTAAGAAAAACATGAATCTTCTCAGAAAAAAAAAGTTCGATAATGGCCAAAGAAAGTTTAGTAATGACAGAATATGCCAATTAGCTCTAACTGTCCTGAATAATTTCCTTCTTTTCCAATCCTAGCTTTCACTTTGGCAAAGGACAAGTCAACTAAAAAATAAGATAATCCAAAAGTCGTGTCCTCTTCACTTGAAAAACACACACACACACACACACACACACACACACACACACCCTTTGAGAAAATGGTGCACTTCTGGATATGGCTTCATAAATGCTGGGTCAGAAGGACCAGCTTCTCTCCAGAGACTCTAACCAATGATAAAACAGAGTCAGTAACGCTCTTATTTGTTGTTTTCTTAACTGCAAAATACTTAATAAAGAGAGGATCTGGAACTAAAGTACATATGTTCAGCTGAGTTAAGGCCTTCTCTAAAAATTCTGCCAACATTTTTCATTACCCATGAAGTACTTAAGGGTCAAACTTTGTTCGTATAAACATATTGTCAATTTTTTAATTGTTCAAGGATTTTAGCAATTACATTCTGCAAATGTTGTTTAAAGTGAGAGCTTCAAATTGGTTCATTCAAACTTGATACCCTGCTAAGAATTTACATTTCCATCTGAGATACACTGAATCAATCTGACTTCTCTCTCACTCTCTCTCACACACACACACACCACACACACACACAAACACACACACACACCCTTGAAGCATATGCCAATTATTCACATCATTTACCTCAGGAAAGAGTCTGTTCTGATCCACCCAAGGGGAAATGGCTCTATTGGACCAAGTGAAACACATACCATCCTTGCTTATGACTGGACTAGTAAAAAAGCTTCAGAAAGAGTGTCAGTGGAGCAAGGAGTCTTGTCTGTACGATAGAGGTAATTTTATAAAAGACTGCAATTCAGTGTAGTTTCTTTTCCAGGCGCACCAGTGGAACTCCCTACCCTCTTTAAACTTCTTTTCTTCATTTTTAAAAATGAGAGCAATGCTTTCATACTGACCTCACCCCGTACTACCTCACAGAGGTGTCGTGAGGATTAATGAAATCATGTCTACAGTGTTTTCAGTTCCTGGAGAAAAATATTTATAGATATTTGAAGTATTACATAGATATATAAGTAATCTCAGTTTGTTTGCTGTAATACTGGTGTGTTGTTTCTACTTAAATCTTTGGAACCACAGCTGTGTTGTGACCACATCACACAGCTGGTACAGCTCTGAACGGCCCCAGTGAAGCTAATCAGCTGCAGGCTTAACTGTGCCTGAGACCTTGCACAATGGTTTCCATCTCCAAAGGAAAGGATAGCCTTGGACAGGAGTCTCACGGACACTTGAGTCAGAACCCAAAAGATCGGGATAATAGTACAAATACATGAGCTGTAAGGACAGAAGACTTCTGGCCTTTACCATCCCGGGGTTTCCTGGATCCCTTGCTGCATTTCATTTTTGACTTGATGCCATCTGTTTACCCTTCGTCTTGCTTGCAAGGATGCATGGTTCAGTTCTTCCCATCTGGGAAGTCAATTTTGCAACTGGGTCAGATGCTAATTTGCACGTTGATTCACCTTCTTTGCCTATAACTGTTTTGGGTTTGTTTGGGGTTTTTTTTCAAATGAATGTATCAATTCAATTTTGAGTTTAAAAGTGGTAGGTGATACTGGTAACAGTGCTAGCCAAGAGATCAATGCTTGATTGTTTTCCTGGGATGAGTTAGCCAGCGTCATTCAGAGATTAGAAGACGTGCAACTTCTTTGATATTTGATGTCCTTGTATTCACATTTGTTGTAAGACATATTAAAATTATAATTAAAGTTCTAAGCTTGCCTTTGGCAGTGGTGGTTCACATTTTGAATGTTTTATTATTCATACAGTGTATAAAACTCATACACAGTAGCCCTGGTTTGTTTTAAAAGAAACATTTTCCCGTGTCAATAAATACTGGGTTTTGTGGAACAGGAAATTCTTTAAAATCTTAAAATAGAATTGAAAAAAGTCAGAATTGAAGAAACTTTACAAGAAGTAATTAGTCTTATGTATATTTTGTGCCTTATAAAATAGTTATTAAAGTTTTGATTCAATGAGTAGATAGCATGCATATACAAGCCGTATTAAACCACATCTTCATTCATGGTGCACTTGCTACCAGTTTCATTTCTCTTTGAGACGTAAAATTTGGCATATTCACCCTTATTGAACAGTAATCCAGAATGTAATTTCAATCCCAGGTGATTGTTGATAGGTGCCATCGAGTCAAGTACAACTCATAGCAACCCAATGAACAGCAGATTTGAACCCTGTCCTATCCTGTGCCATCTTCACACATCTGACATATTCGAGCCTATTGCATTAGTCAGCATGTCAGTCCACCTGATTGAGGGTCTTCCTCTCCTTTGCTGACCATTGCCCTTTCCAAGCATCATGTCTCTCTCCAAGGAACATGCCTGTAGTATGTGAGATACCATCTTTGCTTCCAAAGAGCACTATGGCTGCATCCTCTCCAAAACTTATTTGTTTGTTCTTTTAGCCATCCATGTTCACCGCTCTTCTCTAATATTACAGCTCAAAGGCATCAATTTTTTTTCTGTCATCCTTATTCATTGCTCAGTCCCCTAATACGTAGTAAGTGATCAGAAAGACCATGGCCTCAATCAGACACACCATTGTCCTCAAACTTACAAATTAACTTGTTTCACTTAACAGATGCAATCTTGGATGTGCTCACCAGTCAATACCAGGAAATTTGGAGGACAGCTGTTCGGTCAATGGATTGGAAGAGGTCCATATTCCCGTTCCTAAGAAAGGTGATCCAACAATATGGATACTATCAAATAATATAATTAATATCACATACAAGCAA